ATGAGCCCCTAATAAAATGATTTAAAAAAAGAGGCAATGGCAACAATAATGAAAACTAAAACTAAATCAATCAATCGAGGCATCTGATTTTAGCTTACATCAAAATTGACTTATGACTCTGTTGTTAGGAAAGGAAACCTGTTCTGAGTCAGGGATTTCTTCTATGGGCCGGGCCTTTTGTGACAGCATCTTAGCTTCTATGCTCACTGATACTGTGGTGGCAAGGCTAGCACACCCCTCAAGAGCCCGGTCCCACCACAAGCTCAGAGGGTGACTCCACTTTTCCTGCTTACCTCTTTTCCCTTTGTTTTTTATTCTTGTCCAACAATGTCCTTTCTTTTTTCCTTCAAACAACAAAAAAATACAGTTAGTCAATGAGCTATTCAGAGCTATCAAGACAATTCCTCTGTCATACGTCAGTAGTTTCAAGGTTTTGGGTTTTTTTCTTCGAACTTTGGCAAAACTCCATACAGATATTTCACAGAGGAAGATATATAACTGGCCAATGAGCACTTGAAAAAGTGCTCCTTATCATTAGTCCAAAGGTTACATACATTTTAAAAACCAACAACTGTTAAGCGCAGGGCTGTTAACCAAACAGCTCGGCAGAGTCTGAGGCCGTATGAGACTCTACAGGAGTAGAAAGTTTCCACCTTCCCCTTGGAGCGGCTGGTGGTTTCCAACTGCTGACCTTGCGGTTTAGGGGTCCAACCAAGCACCCACTGGGCCACAGGGATCCTTGTGGTCCATTATAGAGGGTGGAAAACAAGAGAAATTCATCCCAAGAGCCCAGTCGTGGTGGATGGGTTCATCACAGTCGCAGGTGGGATGATAGAACTGAACTAGATGACAGACGGTTTCACAGAGGGCCCCTGGCCTTGTCTGACTGATGTCTCTTTCCACTGACAGAGTCAATTTGACTCCTCCTCTTCCATCTGGCCAGGTCCCTGTGTGTAGTTAGTTGACGTTGTTGAAAAAAAGATATTTGCATTAAGTCGTTAAATCTTACAACATTCGTCTACCATGCGGTCTCCAATGATGTTTCTATCAGCAAGGCCATGTTTACCCTGCCATCCCTCATTTCCAGTTCTCACATCCCAAACTTCAGTCATGTCAATGAACCTTGATGGCTGCTTAAGCCATTTGAGAGTGCAGGAGTGAGTGACAACCTTCAGTTTTCTCATCTGTAGTCTTAGTGGTTGGCGCATAAATGTGACTAATAGTAGAGGTCCTGACTGGTTCCCATC